CTTCTAATACGGCATTCAATTTTTCAACAATAACAAATTCAAAAGGATTAATGATTATACGAAGTTCATCCTTAAAAAATTCAGCAAGTTCCTTTTTATATCTTAGGATCTGTGCAATCAATTTGTAAGTACTATTCCATCTAATGTTGATATCTCTGGCAAAACTTATTTCTTTTTTACCCTTAGACTTACAGAACATCTTCCAGGATCTCGAAATAAGACGAGCCCCCCAAATTTTTTTAATTCCTTCTTTAATATTTGTCAAAACTCCGCCCAGAGCTTGTAGTCCCTGTTGAACACATAAATTTAAAACATGACAGGCACACCGTTGATGCAGAAATCTACCCATAGTCGTAGACGGTGGGCAAATTTCTCTAAGTCTAGGAATAGCAGCAGTATTATTAGTAGCATTATCAAAACCAAATGAAAAAACTTTTTCAGATAAGTTATATTCCCGCAGAATACTCTGAAGCAATAGGAAAATATTTTCAGCAGTATGCTGATCATTGAAATCACGAAATGCAAGAACACGTTTATGCATAATCCAATCACTATCTATCCAATGACAAGTAACACCCATATAAGACAAATTATGATAAGTTTCCGCGTGAGGTCGAACCGTCGGAGGTGGCTTTAGCTTTGCCTTTACTCAATCTTCGGTTGACGTCGCCAATATCCACGGACCGTCTACCGGACTCCCTCGACATTTTAATATATATTTTTTTGATATTAAAATATTATATTACTTTTGCAAAAATGAAAAAAATTTCGAAATTTTATATATTAAAATTTCGAAAATTTCAAAAAATAAAGAATATATTTAAAGATTAAAGAATATATTTAAAAATTAATAATATTTAAAATTTTGAAAAATTTGAAAAAATTTCGAAATTTTATATATTAAAATTTTGAAAATTTCAAAATTTTAATGTATAAAAATTTTATATTATTATATGAATATTAAATGTATAAAAATTAAATAGAGATAATAAGATTGAGAGATTGATAAATTGAGAGAATGAGAGAATGAGAGGATTGAGAGATGGATTGAGAAATTGAGTGATTTTTTATGAAAAAAATGAGAGAATTTATAGATAAAACTTGGTCCCCCCTCCCCCTCCCTCCCCTCTTTCCCTCCCCCACCTCAACGGCTAAATAGCCGTTTGAGGTGTGCCCCCACCTTTTTTTTTAACTTTTTGCAGATTTGCAGGATTTTCAAATCAACAAAAAAAAAATAAACCGGTACCGGAACCGGACCGGTACCGCCGGTACCGGTACCAAAAAATAGGTACCGGAACCGGTACCGAAAGTGGCGGTACCGGTTCCGGAACCGGTGACACGGCTACCTTGCCGGTGACGGTGGCGGGTACCAGCGGTACCGTTGCCGGTGACGGTACCGTACCGGTACCGTGGGTACCGTACCGGTACCGTGTCCACCCCTACTTCTTATATGAGAAAGTCTTATTTGTACTTTCATACATTTCTCAACTAAATAAACACTAAAATTATTTTTATGGCGTGATGTAGGTTAATTTGGTCTTTTTTTCATGGGAGGTAACTCAACTTTAAATGTTGTACTCCATCCATTTAAATGTTCTTTCTCTGTTGTTTACGAGATTTGGTCGATTTTATTTTCAATTTAATTTATTTGATTACAGATGTAAAATTAAAATATAAAATTTATATATTTAAAAAATTAGATCAAAAGTTTTGCAAAATAAGAGATGACAAGATTATATTATTTTATCAAATAACTAACAAAAATAGGTTAAAAAGGTGATTAAAGTTTGACCGTATGAATACTATCTAGAAAGAACATTTAAGAGCATTAGCAATGACAAAGCAAAAATGAAATGTCACACGCTGACATGGACTATTTCAACGAATAAAAAATAACCCAGTCACTGTGTGGCAAATGAGAGGAGTGTCGTAACATACAGTGGCAACTGGCAAGTCATTGTTTTTGTATATTTTTGTACTTTTTAATGATTTTTAATTATCAAAAATTATTTTAGACATTTATTTTATTAATAAAATATGTCCACTTCTTTTAAAAAATATTTTTTTCAAAAATTAAAAATATTAAAAATATTAAAAAAATAAAAAATGAGGGAGTCATGCCTTGCACATGGAATGAAAAGTGGGGTGGAATGACTATGAAATGCCATGATTTGAGTGACATTTACTGACATGGCTAGACATGGCAAGGCATTGTCTTGCCATTGTGAATGCTCTAAGGACGGATGGAGTAACAAAAAGATAACACATCTTATGTTTGTAACAAAATCATACCACATCTTAAAATACTCGGTATTATAACAAACTCAATTCCCTAGCGAGAAATTGTCACATTCCCGCGACAGGATGATGAGTTGGCATCCTACATGGCTTTTCTCTCTCCTACATGTTAAATAATGTACCTTTTCTTCATAATAATTTTTTTACTTAATTTTTTTATGTTCAATAAATAATAAAAAACCTATTCCCTTTTAAGTTGATGTATTTGTGTTATCAATGTCAAATGATCATATAAGATTCATTCAAATTAAAATAAAACATGCATCAACAATTTTAAAAATAACAAATCATTCATTGCAAACAAGTTTTTTATTATGTTTATAAATGTAGTTTTATTAAAATAGAAACATTTAAATAAAGAGGAAACGATGCATTGTCCATCAAGATAGCCAAACCCAAAGGTGTAAGGAAATTAGGAAATCCAAAATAAAAATAAAACAAATTCTAGATAATATAAAATTTACAAAATCTAATTCTAAAAACTAACAAGACGTGCCCAATTAAGCTCAAGATGCGGGTTTAATCTTGAGAATCAATATACAACTCCTCATCACTAGTTGAGAAAATTAGGGAGGGTTATTAAAAAAAATTAGAGAGATAGAATACAACTAAGCATAAAAAAAAGTCACATAGGATGCCAAGTCATCATTCTGTCGCCAAAATATGACCATTTCCGACTAGGGGTATGGTTTTGTTACAAACATAAGATGGGGTACCTTTTTGTTACAACATCTAAAATTCGGATACCTTTGGTGAAAAAAAAGTCGAGTTAACTTACTTTCATACGTTAACTTACCGAGTACTTTTTTTTACGGCTAAGTTAACTAACTTTATATCATTTTAAATACAAATGTTTTCGTGATCCTTAGATCTATGCTTATTTTATTGACTTTGATACATACAATGATTTGATTTTAGTGGGTCTTGTAAAAACATAAATATCCACCTATGAGCTCATGAAAAAATATATGAGAAACTTTATAATTCACATGTTGACATTAAGTGCATAATAGCACAATTCCATTTTAAGACGTAGGTTTGATATATCAAGTATTTATAATATTTACTCATTTTGTTCCAAAAAGAATGTCACATTACGTAAAACAAAGAAATTTCAAAATTTTTTCAATTCATTTTATATAAAGATTGATATATAAATAAAAATAAATATTTAAATATTTAAAAACTATGTCAAAAATTCTACAAAACAAGAGATGACAAAAATATTTTATTTTATTAGATAATCAATGGAAATCAACAAATAAAAAAGATTCTAATTATTTTTTAATAGTTAAGTGTAGTATTCTTTTTTAGACCGATAGAGTCACTTAATATATACATCAAAGCACTAACATTTAGTTTCGCAGACAAGATATATATACATCTATATTTATATTTATTAAAATATCATATATCATATATATATCTATAAAGTTGAGCGGCTTAAATGCGGTAACGACATGTGTCGCGCCGCACGTGTACATTTGTAACACGTGTCATGCCACATGTGTATCACATGCCACGTGGCATGCCATGCGTGCGTATTAATTTTTATATAAAATAATCATTATTTTTATTATACTTTATAAATTCTTTCAGTTTATAAACTTTCACTTCCTAACTTTAATACGGAGTAATAATTTTTTTATTATATTTTCATCATTGTAATATATTTTAAAGTTCGAAAACTAATTTCATTAATTTAAAAATGTTAAATAAGTTATTTTTATAATCCATAATTTATATTTCTATTACTTCTAAAAACAAATTTCATTAATTTATCATACATGTATCTTTTTTTGAATGCTATTGACTTTATTACATAAGCATCTTTAAAAGTTTAGATTTATTTTATTATACACCATCTGTCCTAAAAGTAACTTCTCAATTTACGAGATTTGACCGAAGTTATTTTAAATTCAATTTGTTTGATTAAGTGTAAAATTTAAAAATAAAACTTTTACATTTAAAGCTGCATCAAAAGTTTAAAAAATATATAGATGACATTACTATATTATTTTATCAAATGAGTAATGAAAATAAAATGTAGAATATTAAAATTTTAGAATGTTTGCGAGCCCGTGCGAAGCACGGGATTAATACTAGTACTTATATATTTATAGAGAGGTACGTAGAGTGCCGAGACACCACGTGGAGTATGGTGGTCAAACTTCTGAGTGCCCATAACACATACTCCCTCCGTCCTTAAATTAATTTCTCATTTTGACTTTCATAGTCAGAGTTTTTAAACTTTGACTGCATATTACGGAAAAAATATATTGAATTTTCATATAAATTTAGTATCAATAGATTCATTTTGAAACATAGTTTTGAAATATATTATTTTGATAATATATATTCATATAAAAATGGAAATATTAATGGTCAAAGTGCCGCATTGGAGATCGTAAAAAGTCAAATGAGAAGTTAATTTTAGGGCAGAGGGAGTACTTTAAACCATAGTTTTAAAAATGAGACTATACTTATGTTTGCAACAAGTCGATAAAATTGGCTCTTTTATTTTTATTTTCTTTTTCTTCAAAAAAATTGGCCAAAAATGTAAACAAGATTCGGACCTTAAACCCCATACATAAAGACATCTTTATTTTTGTTCGATCACTTGAACTATTGATTCAATCAATTAACCCGTACTTTCACCGATTCAGTTGCCAATTTGGTTATATGAAAACTATGGTCTAAAACCTTTTGGTGTTGAGTAAGCATCGTTACTACAAAAAACATGAATGACGTCACCAATAGTCTGTGCTAGGGGTGGACACGATACCGGTACGGTACCGTCACCGGCAACGGTACCGCCGGTACCCGCCACCGTCACCGGCAAGGTAGCCGTGTCACCGGTTCCGGGAACCGGTACCGGTACCGCCACTTTCGGTACCGGTACCGGCGGTACCGGTCCGGTTTTTTTTTTTTTAATTTTTTTTTGTTGATTTGAAAATCCTGCAATTCTGCAAAAAGTTAAAAAAA